AAAATGGAAAAGCCCTCCTCCCATACATAAAAGGCACCACAGACAGAATCAGCAGGATCCTCCACAAACACAACATCAAGACAGCATTCTGCACAAACCGAAAAATATCCACCATCCTAAGAAACCCCAAAGACAAAATTGAGTTAGAAAATCAAGGAGTATATGAAATCCCATGCACCGCCTGCCCCACCACATACATACAGCCTGAAGAAAACCCTAATTGTCTGAAGGTTATTTCTCATCTACCTCAACAAAAGGCAAATAGAGAATGAATTATGGGTGTTCAGTCCAAAACATTTGATGGGAATGAGGGTACCTGTTCTTGCTCTATACCAGGATTTCTTAAAATGTGGTGTGAGGAACCCTAGGGGTACCTCTCAGGGATAAAAAATATATATATAATTAGTTGCAAGATATTAAATATATTTGCAAATATTTAAAACAAAATCACTCTTCTCATTGTTTTTTTAATCTGTTAAAAATATAGTTTTTCATGAGATGAAATTACAGTATATTAATATCTAAGATATAATATTGTTATTTGATATGATTTAGTACATGAATATTCTACAAATGTATCATATACAGAACATAGCAGTATGTATAATTCATACAAACATAAACTCTTTTGCGATTCTCCATAATTTTTCAAAGTGCAAATGGATTCTATAAGCATAAGGTTTAATAAATGGTATGCTGTAGTGTACTCTACTGATGCCTAATTTGTCTATTTTACTTTGACCAAGGATATATTTAGAAAGTCTACCCATCTAGAGAGTATCTGGTGTAAAAAGCATTGTATTCCTTGAGCTTTGTAGATTTAAGTTAAAATGTTTCAGATCCATGTATTTGAAATAAAATTAAACTTTACCCTAATTTATTTTAGTTCCAACAAAGTTAATCCCAACAGTAATTTGGTTGAACTTAAGATTGACATCAGTGCAATAGCTCATGTACAGATCAGAGGGTAAGTACATTTATTCTGAGTCAAATATAAAATACGGTAGTCATAATTATTTAATTTATTGTGACTGTGTACTACAGTACTTAGACATTTGTAATTATTGACTCTCAAATATGATAAGCCTTAAAAGATATTTCTTTTCAGAAGGTCTGTTGGTTACCTAATCAGAAAAACAATTCTTACACATCTTTTTTCTGTTGCTGTATGCATGGCCAGATTGTATATTTGCCACTGGTATATTGGCTTAACTGTAAGTTGCCAGCCATGCGAGGGTGATGGAATGAGATAAATCCATGCCAATAGGTTTTTTTAAGTGATCACATATTATGATAAAACTTTAATTATGAGCTTGACAGTTCATTCAGTCCTTGGCAACTTTGTGTGTAAAACTATGACATTCTATTCATTCTTATTCATAGATCAGTCTTTTTTCACAATAAATTAGATTTAAATTTATAAGTTAGTGAAAAAATAGTCAGAATTCCTTTAGGCTACCCAAGAAGGTCTGTTCATGTAGCAGGATTGCTTTAGGGCATGCTATTCACAATGTTTTTGAAAGTTTTTCAAGTGCACAACACAGCAACATGGAAAATTCATCTTCAAGAACATATGGCCAAAGTTTTATTTGGGACATGACAATATTCTTAACTATATTATTATAAAATAATTTCTTTGAATGTGTGAATATTCTGACATGTAAATTAAATATTTAATGCTAATTAAGAATATAAGAATGCTGCTGATGAAATAAAAAATGATACATATCTTTAATATTCTATAGATGAACCCAGTTGACAATAGCTGTGTATTTCCTGAAAGAATATCCTGCTATATAGACATTGCTTATATCATATATAATAAAGGCTTTTTCTTATTTCCTAAAGAATATTCAAGGGAAGTTTTAAAAGAATTTATACATATCCAGTTAAAAAGACATCCTTTCTTGAAACATTTTGGAGGTGTTTTTTTTTGTTGCCTTTTACAAAATAATGTCTTTAAAACATCAAGAATGTTGCTTGGCATCTATTTAACTGATGTATTATTTGTTTAGTAATTTAGTAATTTGTATTGGCATTAAAGGTTAAACTGTACAAGAGTATTGAGAGGTTCCAAATGAATGCATATGTATGTGATATTGAAATGGTAGCCTTTTGGGAAACTGTAACTAGTGTCAGAAGTGTCCACAAGGAGGTCAAAAAATTCAAAATGCTGATTACAACTATGCAATTGAAGCCCTGCCCATTTTTTGCATGTTGTGCATGAATCCATATAAAAATTATTGAGGCCTCAATCATAAAGTTGTGCTACCATTTTGATATTTTGACCCCCATCTTGCAGATATGCTTAACTATGTCATAGTTGCTATCTCTTCCCTAAAGCTTGCAGAGTTGTATCATGAGCATTTTGGTGGCACACCTAAAGATTTGTAACTTTCTTTCTAAAAAACCTACCTGAGCTTTATCTTTAGGGAAGTACTTATTAATGATTTATATAAATGAATCAAAAGAGGATCAACTATCATTTAGTATTCTGCTTCTGCATTTATTTATTTTGTTAAACAAAACAAGTGATCTCATGTGATTTTATTTATGAACTGTTTCAGAGTCTCTCATCCTCCACAAATTGTGTTGCCAATTCATAACTGGAAACCAAAAGATGAACCTACCAAAGAAGATGAGATTGGACCTTTAGTGGAACATATATATGAGGTTAAAAACAAACATAAATATAAAAATAGCTTCCTAATAAGAAATGGCATATTATATGCATAATACACAAAATGAAGTTTATTGAGAATTGAGAAAGTATTCTTGCTGTGCTTAATTTATTTCCTCTGTTCAGCTTGGTAAGGAACCTGTAACCATCCAAGTTACAATTAGCTACATTCCCTGCAGTTCTAGACAGCATGGCCAACTTTGAGTTTTGTTGTGAATTCCAAAGACCTTTGGAAGGAAGAATCTCCACTACAGTTCACTACAAATCTCTGGAAATACTGATTGCAGAATCTTGCTTTAGGCAGCATTAGTTGCCTGAGCCAATTAGGAATTCTATTTATTCTTCAATATCTAAAAATATTCCATTAGAATTCAAAGATTGAGTGCTGCCTTATTGTGTTTTTGGTTTCCCAACTGAATGTAGCTATGTTTGGGGAAGAAGCATAGTGACTATATTCAGTTGGCATGCATGAAGGTAGCAAGAGCTGCACTGGATCTATGAGACCATGGCTGATTTATGGCTAAGTATATCTGTTATTTTAAATTGCTGAGCTATGCTAGGAAAGCAAAGCTGTGACTGCCTATTTGATGTTTTCTCTTTCTCTTTCTCTCCTAATTTTTTTTTCTGAAACAGGCACTGGAATAATCTTTCTGAACCATTAGATATATATAAGTATACTGCATTCCTTAATCTTTGGTTATGTATCCTTAATTAGGGAAAGATAGTAAATCTCAATAGCCATTCCTTCAATATTATTAAGATTCTGGGACATGAAGAAAAGTGATTTTTCCTAACATTTAATTCATGCCCTTATCCCAGAAACTAGGCATATTAGATAAATCGAGCAACCTAACAAATCAGACTAAGTTACAATAAAGTACAAATTAAAAAACAATTAGGACCTTTCATAAATGTTAATATATATTATTATTATTATTATTTGATTTCAAAGGATTATTCAAATGACCTCTATGGAGGGAGTGATATATAATGAATGCATATTCTCCTTGGAATTTGATGGATAACTAAATTTCAGAGTGAAACAGGATGTTTCACATATGGTTTTATTTACAAACCAGTAGGCAAGACAGGATGGGCAATCTCAGAGGGAACTATGGATAACAAAATATAAACAAAATTATAAACTGAAATATTACAAGGCAAGCACTCTTTATGTCGGATATTGAAAGGTTACTGAATGCTGCTGAATTAAGTTTAATATGTGATCACAAGTTTAGCACATTAGTATATTAAAAGCATACCTATCATACTTTTCGGCCGTGCTCCTAATAAAGCCTCTTATTAAAGAAATATAATATGTCAGTACTATTTTGAGTACACTGAAAACATAGCTGTAATGGTAAGATATGAAGTGGGGGAAAGAAAGCTACAGAGTTGAGAACATTTGTAAAAGATTGATTGAGCTGATATCATATTAAAATACTTATTTTACTATTTACCAGAATGATAATATAGCTGCTTTAGCAACATATCTTTTAAAGAGATAATTTTGTAATGTTATAATATTGGAAGTAGTATTGTGCTCCCAATTATCCCTTCCACCTAATTATCAGAATTCCGAGAATACCTGTGACGAAGTATTAATAATTGACTACAAGTAGTCCTCACTGCTCATACAGAGACCATTCAAAGTTATGACGGCACCAAAAAAGGAGATTTATGACTGCAAAGTTGCAGTCTTTGCATCTTTCACATAGTTACATTTATTTATTTAGAAAATTTATAAGGCCATCCCCTCATTTTCAATGACTCCAAGCAGCTTACAAAAAACAAAAAACTCAGTATAAAAAGAATAAAAACAGTACTGCCTGGAGACAAAAAACAATCAAACAAGCTACTTGATGGGCTCCATCCCACTCTAGATTCCCCAGACCCATTGGCAAAACCAAATCTTCAGAGCCTTACAAAAGACTGTCAAAAAGGGAGCCAATCTAACATCCACCGGGATGATATTCCAAAGGGAGTGATCTACCACAGAGAAAGCCTTCTTTGGGGTCCCACCAGATATATCTCCTTAGGAGAAGGGACCTGCAACATTCCCTGCCTCCCCAGTCTGGTGGGTTGGTTGGGTTAAAAGGGAAGAGACAGTCCTTTGGATAACCTTGTTCCAAGCTATGTAGGACTTTAAAGGTAATAACCAGCAACAATTTGTACACAGAAGCAAATCAGAAGTCAATATAGCTCCTGCAGGAGAGGTGACATATGTGCACACCTGGATTTTACAAAACCAAGCATGCCACTCATTTTGAACCATTTGGAGCTTCTGGATCCTTTTCAAGGGCAGTCCCATGTAGAGGGTATTGCAGTAGTCAAGATGGGAGATGACTAGGTTGTGAGTGACTGTGAGCAGGGATTGTTGGTCCAGGAAAGGGCATATCTAGCACACAACCTGCAGTTGTTGCATAAAGGCCCTCCTGGCCATGACTGCCACTGCTTTTCAAGCAGGAATTGTGAGTTCAGAAGAACACTCAGATTACACACTGGGTCTGTCTAGGGCAGTGCCATCCCATCCAAGACTCCCTAGGATCCTGTCCACTTCCTCAGGAACAGCAGGGTAAAACCATTCCCAGATAACTGGGCAAGAGTCTGCCCCAGGTGCCTTTAAGTAGGGAAGGGGATGGTGACAGTTTGAGGGTGCTGAGAGCAAGTGCTATAGTGCCTGTTGGCTTCGCCTTACCCCTGACTTTTCACCAGTTGGGGGAGGTTCCCCTTTTAGATCAGTAAAATAATGTTGTTGGAATGGCAGGTGATGAAGGCAGGATAGGGCAGAGTAATTCAGTGGTGTCAGATAATGGGAGATATGGGCGGTAAGAGGGAAAGCTCACAGGGAACACAATCTCGTATTTAGAATCAATCTCTTGCACTCACCACAACAGATCTGGGTGGGCCCGGCCCAATAAGTCTTGCCTTATTTCTGACTTGATTCTTTCCAAAAGGCCTATCTAGCTTGTACCACTGAGATCTGGCTCTCTCAGAAATGTGTCCACCGGGTTATCAAATATGGCACCAGCCTAGACTTCAGGTCAGAGGAGGCGGTGTGTGACTGTTGTCATCAGAGAATCTCTGATAGTTTCCAGGGCCATGGCACAAGTGCCTGGCTATGAGTCCCTTGTTCTTAGGCTGGGCTTGAGGGAACAGGTGGGATTGCTGCTGCTGTACCAGTGTCCCTACCCAGGCTCCTGGACCTCACCACAGGTCTGGCAGAGGAGTTCCCCAGGCTTATATTCTGGGGACTTCAATCGGCTATGCCTGGGAATGGGGTCAAAGGTAGTTCAAGATTTCATGGAAACCATAACTTCCATGGACCTACCCCAGGTCATCCGCAGCTCAACTAGGAAAAGACAAACCAAAATTCAATTCTTCCAATCTGATGACCTTCTTAAGTAGGCATCCTTTTGGGTGTTGGGAAGGCACCACCTCTGATACCTAGTGATCCTAAAGGCAAATGTGCAAATGAGACAACTAGAGGTATATTTCTTCCCTCCCCCATCCCAGAAATTCAGCCTGCTCTAAGATAGGCTTATAAAGAAAGTGGAAATTAATCCATTTTTGTCATAATTAATATATGTCTTTCTACTCACAGATTCATATGAGACAGAAGAAAAAAAATTGTACTGGGAAGGCTGATGAAGCATTAGATTAATTAAATAATGGAGACAAAATAGGAAATGATCTGAAAAGCAGAAGCCTGAAAAGAATCCTGAATGCAAAAACTACATAGGAGAGGCAGAAGAAAGCAACCAAAAAGTGGATTTCCTCAGTCTAGGGCATCTGTGACATATTTAGATTCCAGTTCCCTGAAATCCCACCTGATTTTTTAAAACTTACAGTCCCAATCCATCTGGACTGGGGAGGGTTAAGTTAAAGCAATGATGACCAAATGAATATTGGCCCAGGCAGGCAAGTCTTGGAAACATCATCTAATTAGGTTAGGTTTTCAGTTTGCACCATGATGGGAAGTTTTTCATAAGTTTGGCTCAAGAGGTATTGATAGGATTGCAATTCTGAGGTAGGAATAATGTAAAAAATGCATAATGATGTGAATAAAAATTTTGCTAAATATTTTTATTATTATTATTTATCCAAATAGTTGCACAACATTGGGCCAAGTGCTATCAATGATACAGTTTTGTATATGGAATGGCCAGTATTGAGCAAAACAGAATTCCTTCTTTACATCCTCCACATTCAGACACATGGACCTCTGAAGTGTCAAACAAGTTCTGCAATTAACAGTTTGGAAGTAAAGGTAAGAGAGTCTTGATTCCCTGTTCTGTAAAATTTTGCTTTTTTAGACTTTTAGAAATTTGATAATGCCAGTAAATTAATTCTATAATTATAAGTCTTTTCATCTAGGTCATTTAATGCTTATTTCTCTTTTTCTGCAGTTTACTGTCCCAGAAGACACTCCAGAGCTTGCTGCTTTTTTACGAAATTCTTCCATCCCTCACTCTGTTGGACGGAGGGAAGCCAAATTGGTGGAGTATGAAAAAGACTCTGCAAAAATTCTGGTGAGATAGATATTTTTGTACTATATACTCAAGGACCCTCATTTTACATGATCATGGAAGAACTTTTTATAACTTGTCTTTGTCAAGACAAAATATTCATAACACTCCAACTCCCCTTGAATATTAATTTATTTTTTTCAGGCATATAACATCATGACTTAGAGAACCATTTACAGTTAGCTAGTAGACAACAAGATGTGGAACTCTCAGATCAGACTAATTAGCTGGACACAATAAAAGATTTTTTTTATTCATTTCCATATGCAGTTCTACTTTTGAATCATAATGATGTATAAAAATACTTCTTGTTGTGTACAAGAAAATATCCTATCCGTGCAATCGGGTGGTTTTCTCTGTTCATTCTATATATAATATTCTCCATCCTCCTAGAAAAATAAAGACATAATACCGTAGCTGGGAAAAAGAAACAGAATGAAACATATAAATTGTAAATTACTTTTATACTCCTATTGATTCTACTCTGTTTTAATTCAAATCTATATTTGGATCTGTTTCATAATATATTTGATGCAAGTTTAAACCTGGCATGATTTAGATTATTTTTAAAATCTGCTAATTCAATTACCAATTAACAGATAATTCTCATTCTTCATTTCTTTTCCTGATTATCAAAGCTAAGCAAATATAAATTCTGAATTCTAGGAAGACTATTTATGAAACTATTATTACTCAATCATAGAGGCACTATTCATCCATAATGCTTCAAGATGGGGTTTTTTTTGTAACAACTAACCTGTAAACTACTAAAACAAATTGAAGAAATGGCTATCCCAGTTGTAAAACTCTGTGTACAAGTAGGTTGCAGAAGAAGAATCTGCAATATTATAGTAAAAATAACAATGCAGGTTTTTCCAGTAGTTTGATTCAAATGAATTGGATTTAGACAGGTAGCATTTCACGTTCTAGATCTTTCTTAAGTTCTATTTTTAATACACGTTGGAGGGGAAGGGGAAACAGGTTATGATATGATTAACATATCTTACCACCAAGAGACCATCTCTGCTGCATACAGAACTCTCTGATAAATTGAAAGATAAAAAGGACAAGTATAGAAAGTGGAAAGAGGGGCACATAACTAAGTCAGAATATAAGCAAATAGCCCGAGCCTGCAAAGATGAAGTGAGGAAAGCCAAGGCTCAAAATGAACTAAGGCTTGCGACAAAAGTCAAAAATAACAAAAAAAAAGTTAAGGAAATGATTGGTCCATTATTGAGAGAAAATGGCAAGAAGGCTTGCAACAGGGAGAAAGCAGAACTACTTAACTCATTTTTTGCATCCGTCTTTACACAAAGAAAAAAAACAGTCAAACTTATCAAAAACAGTACTGTAAAAAACAGAAACACAAGATAAGATAGGCAAGAAAATGGTAAGTGAGCACCTGTCCACCCTAGACAAGTTCAAATCACCAGGACCAGATGGATTACACCCCAAGGTTCTGAAGGAACTGGCAGACGTGATATCAGAACCACTAAACTATATCTTTCAAAGATCCTTCAAAAAAGCTAAAAAAGAATGGATCCAGGAAACTACAGACCTATCATCCTGACCTCAATACCTGGGAAGATTCTGGAAAAGATAATCAAGCAATGAACAGATCACGCCAAACAAATCTTATTGAATTCTTTGATAAGGTGACAAACTTAGTGGATCAGAGGAATGCTGTGGATATAATTTACTTGGACTTCAGTAAGGCATTTGATAAAGTAGACCACAACCTACTACTTGATAAGATAGGAAAATGTGGGTTAGACAGCATCACCACCAGATGGATTCATAGCTGGCTGGCCGGCCGTACGCAGCATGTGGTCCTCAATGGAACTGCATCTACATGGAGGGAAGTGTGTCGTGGGGTGCCCCAGGGCTCTGTTCTGGGCCCAGTGCTCTTCAACATCTTCATCAGTGGTTTGGATGAGGGGATAGATGGGGAACTCATCAAATTTGCAGATGACACCAAGCTGGAAGGAATAGCCGACACTCCAGAAGATAGGCTTAAGATACAGAAGGATCTTGACAAACTTGAACATTGGGCACTATCTAACAAAATGAAATTCAGTGATGAAAAAAGTAAGGTTCTACATTTAGGCAAAAAAAGCTAAATCCAAGGTGGTACCTTGTTCAATAGTGGTAACTGTGAGAGGGATCTCGGAGTCACTTAAATATGAGCCAGCAGTGTGCTGCAGCTGCCAAAAAAGCCAACACAGTGCTAGGCTGCATTAACAGAGGGATAGAATCAAGATCATGTGAAGTATTAATACCACTTTACAATGCCTTGGTAAGGCCACATTTGGTCACCACAATATAAAAAAGATGTTGAGACTCTAGAAAGAGTACAGAGAAGAGCAACAATGATGATCAGGGGACTGGAGGCTAAAACATATAAGGAACGGTTGTTGGAATTGGGTATGTCTAGTTTAATGAAGAGAAGGATGAGGTGTGATATGATAGCAGTGTTCCAATATCTCAGGGGTTGTCACGAAGAAGAAGGAGTCAAGCTATTTTCCAAAGCATGTGAAAGCAGGATAAGAAGCAACGGATGTAACCAAAGAGAGAAGCAACCTAGAACTAAAGAGAAATTTCCTGATAGTTAGAACAATTAACCAGTAGAACAACCTGCCTCCAGAAGTTGTGAATGCTCCAACACTGGAAGTTTTTAAGAAGAGACTGGACAGCCATTTGTCTGAAATGGTATAGGATTTCCTTCCTGATCAGGGGGTTGGACTGGATGACCTCCAAGGTCCCTTCCAACTTTATTATTATTAACTGCTGTGATTTGCTTAACAACTGTAGCAAAAAAAGTTGATAAATGGGATCTGACTCACTTAACAATTGCCTTGCTTATGAAAATTTTGAGTTCATTATATGTTTCATTGCCTTGCAATGAAAATTTTGAGTTCAACTGTGGTCGTAAGTCGAAGAATATCTGTAAAATGAGGAGGGTTTTTGAGTCCTGGCCTGTAAGTCTGTTCAGTTACTACAAAAATCACAACAAAATAGTCTTTGATTCTAAGTTATATGCATCTGTTTTTTGTTTTGTTTTTTAAGTATCTGACTTAGCCTTTAATTACGAAGCTCTTTTTTGATCTAGTACAACTGTGAATAGAAAGAAAGACATGTCTTCATTGATCCTACATTACAGGGAATAAACACTTTGGCTAGATTAAAGAGTGATTAAATAAGAAAAGCTAAACAAATACTTCCTCTAAAATATTGCCTTTCAGTAAGTTCTGTATAATCAGTTTCCTGTTGAGGAAGTGGATGGAGTTTAGCAAAAAAAAACAAAACACACGATCACTCATTCAGTTTTAATGAGGAAACATTTGCTGTGATATTCTATAATTTAGGGTACAAATTTAACTTTGCATTTACAGAATATAACATTATATAACATTATTTTTCTTAGAGCGCATTTTATTTTACAGAAACCCACCTTATATAGTTCTGTACTAAGAGACTTGGGAATTTGGACAAAGAAGGCTTATAATATTTGTCATGTTTTGCAATTGGCATCCACTCATATATGCACATATGTAAAGATTACTCCTCCAACTGACAATCACTTGTTCTAATTAATGCAATGACTACTTACATTATGATAATTTCTTCTGAAATGCTAGGAGTATTCTTAGCAAATGCCAATACTTTCTAAACTATATCTCACAAAATGCTTGTATTCCCTGAACAGCACTATGCTTTCAACAGCACTATGCTTTCAACATAAAAAGTGGGTTTTCAGTATTCATTACATCCCAAATCAAATAGCAAAAGGAACTGAATGCTGACTGTTTCAACAAATCATATTTCAGATATTGATGGCATGATATGCAAGCTTATTCCTCCTATTAATAATGTTTTAAATGTAAAGAAAAAAAGAATATTGTTAGAATGCTATGAAGACATTAGTAAATATCAACACAGGTACTGCTTCTTTATGCAGCTTGCTGAAAAAAATTGAAATTGACTTTTAATACCAAAATTAAATTTTCATTCAGAAATAAAGTCTTTTTTAATGGACAATTTACAGTAAGAAGTCTTTTTCTTAAAGAGGTCTAAGCTGATGTTATTTCTCTTTTTTAAAACTTAGCATTTTCTTATCTTTTATTACTTTTAAAAATAAAAGCTGAACATGTTATTCTAGATTCCCCAGTTGGAATTTGACTCTTGTCAATATCTTCAATAAATAATTAGTATACTTTTTTTACTTTGTGTATAGAACTGCACAAATGTCGAATGTTTAATGATCACCTGTTCTGTGGGGCTCTTGGAAAAAGGGAAAAGTGCTGCATTGAAAATCCGATCTCGTTTATGGGCTTCAACATTTCTACAGGTAAAGAAATGCAAGCTAAATGTAAGCTATCCTGTTCATAGAATAAATCTGTAAATTGCAACTGTAGGCATAAGTGCCTGTTGTTTCTCAGAGATACTGGCAGTCCCACTTTACTTCAATTCATGCATCAACAAGAAACCATTCTGATTTCTAACTAATCAAAAATAAATTTCATTAAATATGACATGTTTTTCTTTTTCTAATGTTTGCAATGGACCATTTTTAAACTTGTCTTGTAATAAAATATTAAATGTATAAAGCTGTTCTGAAAATAGGAAGAGCGAGATCTGATTTCTCAGATCTTCAGCTTTCACTTCCAGTTGGACCATACTAGTTCTCAAGAAAAATTCAAGGACTATGTCATTCAGGTCTGTCAATCAATTTATATTTTTTTCTGGAATGTATGCAAATCTTGCCACATATTATTCCCAAATTGCTCAGTGATTTCAGGATCTCATCAATGAATGTGTGAATCTATTATTTTATTCTACAGCATTGACTTAAACAATCTTTCCCTGCCAAAACACCACCTTATCACGCTATAAAATATTTTAAATGTGCAGAAGAAAAAAAATAGGAAACCCGTCTCACTAAGAATTCTATAATGGAGCAGCGGTTGCTTTCAGATATGAACGTATAATTTTGATTTAATCCATTATCATTAATTTTAAGAATAAAGAATTCATTTTTCATTTTAATGAATTTTATATTTATATTGATTTTGTGTAATTTGTTCAATGATTGCCTAACTTTTTACAGTATTAAAATAACACTTGCTGACTGTTCAGTTTTGTAGCTAATTGTAATCTGTCAGGTTAAAGTCTTAACATTTTATCACAAACTAGAGCTATATGAAGCGAGATGATTAAACAAGCTTGAGTAAACAAGGAGCTTAAGGTCTCCCCCAAAGCCAACAGAGATAATGAAGGCTGTTGAATCAAAGCCAAGAAGAATAAGGAAGAATTTGGCTGTGTTTCAAAACCTGAATGTAAATAGAAACATATGTTAAATTTTATCATTGATGTAGTTGAATCTTCAAATCATCAGTTGTTTAATTCATTCAAAAAAGAATTAGCCTTATTTCATTATTAATTGTATTTCTAGTATGACTTCTATTGATTTTCTATCTATATTAAATACAGTGCACAGCCACTGAAGAGGCAATCTATATAGCACAGAATAAGCAATGGGGAACCATGAGCTCCAAAGCCTTAATATGACCACAGATTATTCTCTGGGGGGCTGCCAATCTCTCTTCCCACCCACAGTTTATTAAAAAAAATGTGTCAGAAGCATGATACCAATCTTATGTTATAACAAAACAATGGTTTATATATAACTTCAATTTAAAGAGAGAAAAATATTGGTATTTGAAAGCAGATTACAGCCTAACATTCCCATATGGCATATAGCCTTGGAAGTCTTAGATGTGACAAATAAAGACTTTGAAGATTGCCATAGAATTTTACTTTTTATTGTCATAGAAAGGAAACTTGCTAAATGTTTATAAACCTATTCACTATAATGATTTGATTTAATAATTTTCATTGAAATGAAATGAAATGAAATGAAAGTTACTTTTTGTCTTGGGTCTCGTTCATGGGGATACTATTCACCAATACCATTCAGTGGATGCATGCAATTCTTGGCCTGAAAAATATGTGTCTCACTCACTACCATTGAAGATTATCTATGATACTGCTGTTCCTGTGTAGAAAGATCTCCCCCAATATAGCTTAGCAAGCCAAATGCAATGGTTATGATTATATGGAATTAGTAGCAAGCCTATTCTCACAGATCACTCAGATCTGAAGAGAAATCTGAATTCTCCTCAATAGAATTGATTAGTGAAGCTGGATAAAACAATTACTTCCTCCTCCTCCTCCTCCTCCTCCTCATCATCATCATCATCTTCTTCTTCTTCTTCTTCTCCTCTCAGGAATCCCACCTGCAGGCCAGATGCCCTTTATTTTGTCCTTACATGCCTTGCTTGGTCTATATAGGGTAGGTTATTGATTTCTGCTGTTGTGCTTCATTGAGACCAAAGCAGGCACCATAATCCATCACTAGGCCCACTGAGAACTCATTTAAATTGTTTTAACTACTTAGGTGGGCTGATAGGTGATGTGCTTTCCAAATTACCTCTGCCTGACTTTGGATAGTATGCAAACAGATTTTGTACTCAGCATGTCTTGGAAGTGCTTAGCTATTTGGAATCCAAGTAGCCATATGTTTCACATTTGCTGAAACTGAAACTCATTTTTAGTATGATAATAGATTTGAATATGTTTAACATTTTGGAAAGGTGCTAGTGCTCCAGAGAATGATAAAAGATATCATTGTAACCAGACGTTTGTGGATTTCTCTAAAACCCTTCACCTTGATAACATAGATATAAATTTATAAAACTTAATGGAAAAAAGCATTCTTCATTTTTTCCCTAACAGTGTTTTAGCCCCTGCCAAAGGTAAAGATAGATAAGGAAGAATAGGCCCTACACTACTGATGTCTGATGTGAATGCCTTTAAAATGTCACCAACTTACATTTAAATGAGCCAGTTTGGTCTAGTGGTTAAGGCACCAGGTTAGAAAGTAGGAGACTGTGGCTAAGGTGAGTCCCACCTTAGCCATAAAAGCCAATTGGATGGCTTTGAGTCATTCTCTCTCAGCCCAACTCCCCTCACAAGGTTGTTATTGTGGAGAAAAGGAGGAAGAAGGTATATTGGATATTTTCACTGCCTTGAGTTACTTATAAAAATAATAAAGGTAGGATACAAATAAATAAATAAACAAACAAACAAACACATGTATTATGATCCTGAATAGCACAAGAATCTTATTTTCATGGAATGCTTACATATTTTCATGCAATGAGGGATTGTATATTTATAAGCACATAAGATTCAGAGATAAAGCCTATGACATGGTACATGGGAACAAATCCCAGATGCAATATCCTTTGGACAAACTGAAAATAATTTCTGAAAAAAAACCTTAAACCTTCGCTTCTACCAATCCTGTAATATATTTTGAACAGTCCTCTGTTTCTACTATTCCGCCAAAAATGAGTGTTTAAGCACTAGAAGCTTAAATCTGGCCACACTCAAGAGAAATACATCAACTGAATATGTAAGAATGGAAAATATAGGGAGTCTATTTCCAAAAGAGATAAGGAGGATTCAGTTGCAGGTAGTTACTGGTTGAGAATATTGTACAAATAGTTTTCTACCACAGATAAATTGTTCTGCATATTGAAATGATACATTGTGCAATGTTTTCCCAGATCAATTCCACCCCATCTTCAGTTTATATTAAGTGATAAAAATTGAATTCCTAGAGCTTATGAAGCAATTGTGAGGATTCAGTGGCTCAAGGCACAGTTTAAATTTTTAAAAGAAGTTTGGGTGATAATAATCCCCAGGAAATACTGCAGTAGTTTCTTACAGGATCAAAATTGAAAAAGTGGTGTCCATTAAATAAGGAACTAATTAAATGGAATAAATGCAAGAATAACATGATTATTATAATATCAAAAAGTAGACCTTCAAGTTGAAAGTTACAAATAACAGTTGTAACTGTTTCTATTTATATTTTTGATGCCTATCACTGACCAGTATAAGATCTATTTTGTTTTTATTAACATCTGTAGAATAGAGGTGGGAGTACATTGATGGCATTTACAGATAACCCTGTCTGAGAGAGACAGTATTATTACTACAGGAAGCCATCAAGAAATTATACAGAGTGAACTGAATGATCCCATGACCTCAAATAAGAAAAGTGGAATGCAGTGAAAAAATGCAAACTGTTGTGGCCATATACCAGTGGATTAATAATAAACATGCTTTCCATCTTTATGGATTCAGTAGCTGGAAATAATTTAAAAAGATCGGGAAAGGAGATAACATTAAAACATCATATGGGGTCATGTATTAATGGGGATTGTTATTTTATCTTAAGAATTCACTTTACAGAAGACTTTAATATCATAGGAGGATTCTACATTTCATATTAAAATTGAGAGTAACTTTTCTCTCTCTCTGACTCTCTCTCACACACACACATACACAAGTGTATGTGTGTGTTATTGTATCAATAATAGTGAATGTTGGCAATAATAAAGTGGAAATCAAAGCTGTTTATAACAATCCTGACAAAAAGTACTATCTGAATTGAGATTGTCTAGAAGGGAAAAGAATTTGAGATCAAATCATGTATCTTTCTGTTCTGTGATTGTAAGAATAAAATCAATAAGTGCTGTTCAGATTTCTTTTCATTTGCTAAATTAATTTAATAACTACTAAACAGTGTAATAGTAGTCCATCTTCTGTTTTGAAATATGGAAGGCTGCTTTAGAAAGAACATTTTGAATCAAAAGAGACCAAGGAGGAGATCCTTGACTCTTCCTTACATAATGCTTCAGATCATTTACTCAAATCAAATATTTTCCCCTTTTAATTGGAATATTGTTAAACATATTTGTTTAATTATGATAACACATTTTATTCATTTTTATTCAGCTTGTGCTGGATTTTCAAAATTAGCTCTTTGATTCATATAAAAATAAGCACCAAATTATCTATGATTTAAAACTAATAAAATCTTTTATTCTAAATTTGATATAAAGCATAGCCTAGCATTTATGCTTTGAAGATAAAAATCTTATCAGTGATTATGATTTCAAATTTTGGAAGGTCCTGCTCCATGCTATAATATTTCCATTCATCCTACTTCTAACTCCCTCTCTTTTGTCCCCTCCATCATCTTGACTGCAATTGCCCTTTAGTGCAATCCTTTGGAAATTAAATGCCTATCCTGTTAAACTCAGTACATCCTTTTGAAGGAAAAAAAATGCCTTTATGAGTCATAGTTTAGCCTTTCTTTTTCCCTTTCAGCTGAATTCTATGTTAATATTACTAATGACTTTAGTTGATGGGTTTAAGCCAGGTAGATAACTTTTGGATTCAGGTTCAAAGTAACCTTTGAATAAGTAGTGAATCTGGAAAATTGATCATGTGGTCCCTTTTACAGCAGACAGATCTATTTTTAAAGTGCCTTGAAAAAACGGTTTTCTACTATTAACTTGAATATGATATAATAATTAAGGGAAATAGAGAGGGAACCTTTAATGATGTAACCTGAGATATATATGAATGATTTTGTTATTGGACTATTGATTACCCTATCACCACTGCTTCCTAATTACTTGGATGTAAAAATTGAAAATTAATAAAACTTGTTATATATAAAAAATGGTTCTCTACTGTATTTGGATTGGTCTTGTGCAAGCAAATTTTAAAATCAAGAGGAAAAAATGTTTTTAAAATTGTTGCTGTATATATAAATTAGCATGTATGCATTGATTTGATGATGCCCAGCTGGTCAGTCTATTGTCAGTGATAGCCATCAAAAATATAAATAAAAAGCAACAGCATAATATTTTTCGATTCTGTTAACTGTTCTGGATATCTGGAATGCTGCTCTGTGTTTTTTTTAAAATGCCTGGTGTTAATAATGCCGACATCTGAGAGTTTGCTCAGCTGATTTTGTCCCACAAGAAAAAAGTTAGAAACTCATCACTTGAGCTTTTGAATGAGTATCTGTTTGCATAAGCTCCACCCACTAGAGCAAAGGTCAGGGTCTAGCATACTCATAAATCCTCTTGCTGATGAGAGATAAAATAACTAAAGGAGGCCTGCTCAGAACAGCAGCTGCAAAGAGGAAAAGTATAGCTGCAAGAATGGGGGAGCATGCTGACACTGCAGGAAATTCCAAAGAATATAAATATTTATCACTAGTGAGATAAAAATTCTGGCCTCATTGAATATATATCAAAAAGAGACCCAAAAAATTCTGGCCTCATTGAATATATATCAAAAAGAGACCCAAAATTTGTCCTGTATTAGAGAGCCAATGTGATCTTCCTTAGGTGTACATCAGGAATCCCTCAATTCATATTTACTTACAACACTAGTATGGTATTGGCAAAATATATAGTATTGACAAAATATATCTTAAGAAAGTAGAAATATCTTTAATTTATTTCTCTCTTAAATTGTTTGAGTTTCCAAATGGATTTCTATATGCTTATTGCAATTTTAATCACGACTTTGAGACTTTTATATGCATTGATTTAGATTAGATTGGTAAGGTAATTCAGATCTTCTACCAATTTTTCTGGGCCTCTGTAACTATAGGGCAGCCAATAAAAAATGAGATCCATACCCTCACTTGAAAATTCTCTTCAAATCATGTCTATGTTTCAAAATAATAATACATCCATTGAGAAAAGGGGGGGAATACATCCATCGAGAAAAGGGGGGGTTAAAAATGCTGACAGGATTAGAACAGCACTTCTCAAAAAGGCAACCCAACTCTTTGAAGGGCAATTCTGAAGTTCAACAAGAAAGTTAGGGGTCATTAGGGTGCTATAGAAAAACATTAAACACATAAAAGTTGCAAAGTCATGATTAAAATTGCAATAGAAATCCACTTGGAAGCTCAAATAATTTAAGAAAGAAATAAGTTAAAGGTTTTTACTCAAGGTTATGTGAGTAATCTTTACCAGAGTTTACAATCTCTTCATTTGCAACTGTATAAAAGTCTGAACTTATAAAGAATTTGATTATGATTATAGTGATTATAAAGATTATAAGACATTACTAGAATGATGAGTGATGACCATAAAGTGAGAAGATTTGGATAAAATGAACAGGTAGGAATTTAACAAAGAGAAGTGTAAAATTCTGCACCTGGATTGGAAAAAATGAAAGGCCTAAGTATGGGATTGGGAAGATATGGTTTGGCAAGAAGACATGTCAAACTTGAAGAACATGAGTTAAACATGACTCAGTTGCTAAAAAAATGCAAATGCTACTTTGGGCACATTAACAGAAGCAGAGTCCAAATCATGGAAAGCAATGGCCCCATTTAATATGCCCTGGTCAGATCCTTTTGGTATTGTTCTGTACGTCCAGTTTTGGGCACCACCATTCAAAATGGACAATAGCACAAGAGGTTCACAGGAGGGCTATCAAGATGATGAGGGGCTTATGGTAAAAATAGATGTTGCTCCGGCTCCCCACATTTTGGAAAAGAAAGGGTTCTCCAAAACAAACTTTGATGGGAAAATATAAAGCCACACATAAAAGACATATTGAAATAAACAGAAAGGGACAAGATATAAAAAAAACGTCATGGTCTCTGCTCCAGTGTTGTCAGATCTAGAATGCTGTAATATAGGAAACATCTCAGATAACTGTTTAGAACATTTGAATTATTTATTTAACATGAGAATTTTCTTCATAAAGATATATCAAGAACTCTTCCTGATTAGGCTAATAGTCTGTTTCAGGGGTGAGAAAACAAGTGTGTTTTAGAAAATTTGGCCTCAAAATTATTAGCCAAATCCAGCATGGCAATTGGGAAGATATTAGAATGCTAATCCAAAACATTTGATAAGCAATACTTCTTTTCCCATAGCTAATCCAGCATTTTGTTCACATAGGATCCAAATTCACAGGCTGCATATGAAGACAACAGTATTGGGGTTTTTTTTACTGCCCCTTAGGAATTGATAATTAAACTACTCAACTGAGCCTCAAATATTTCAAAGTTTTTTACCAATAATAGCCACATCCTCCAAAAATTTACTTACTTATTTCTAAACCATCTAAATTTGTGGATCTCCTCTGAGGAGGGACTGAATTCTTAGTTGAATATATGCTAAATAAAGAAACATCTTATAAATCTCGATTCTTCCTATAACTGGTAACTTTAAATTCTATTATTGTGAATAAGATATAGATTTATATAGTTTTATCTTGTTTTTCCTCTGTTTTCTTGTTCATCTCCTTTCTAAGTCCCATACACACTGTCTGCCATTATAGGAGGGATTATTAATCAATTTGGTGACTAATCCAAACTTTTTCTGTATCATATTTTTCAGAGGAAAAATTACCGCTATGCTCTTTCCATCAGTGTGTCATTTGAAGTAAAGAAGATGCCATACAAAGTTCAGCCAGCAAAACTTCCTGAAGGAAGCATAGCTGTGAGTAGCACTGAAAATAATTATAGAACATTAATGTCCGTTGTTTGGATAATTTTGATTACTGTGACAGAATATATTTATAGGCAGGAGTTTCAAGATAAGAGTTTCCTGTGTTTTCTAATGCAAATCCATTCTTTGAATGTTTTTTAAAAGATAGTCATCTGAGTTTTCAAATAATCCTCATGTTGGTTGTGTTTCCATTTTAATGGTTCTTAATTGTATATAATGGGATAAAATTCAAATCCTAGTATACCAGGGATAGATATGCTTATGGCACATTATATTCTTGAAAGGGCAACAGTCACAGGGAATGAGGTAGCAATGCTACATCATGAGCATGATACAGTACATTTGTTTGTATAATTCACATTTCTAAAATCACCCCATTTCTCAGCAACATAGGAGTATGAGGGATATATAATGAGTATTGATGATAGTTGACACAATGGTATCTGATGACCTCACCCAGAAGACTCATGTAGATGTAGATGTTAAATAGGAGGGGTACAGTGCCAAGCCCTAAGGCATTTTACATGCTAGAGTCTTTGGACTCTATCTCTTCCCATTAACATTGATTGGATTCACATGTAGAAAGGAAGAAAAGATTACAATGATTTTTAAGCAAGAATAATCTTATCCATACACTCCCATAGTCTGTTATTAATCATATGAGAGATCAGAGAAAACAAGGACAGTGGCACTACACCAATCCTTGTAACTCCAGATATAGAGAAGTGTAATTAATGTCATCTCCATAGTATATCCACCATGAAGTCTATCTGAAAAGGTTCCAGATAATCTGCTTTATCCAAGAGCCTTGCAGAAATGGGAGATCAGAGCCTAGACAAAAGTTGTTCAGGACTGTTGGGTCTAGTGATTTTTTTTTTTAGAAGGAGATGCAGCCTCACTACTTTCAAAGCAGGTGAACTACATCCTTCTTTCTTCAGGAAGTCACATGGACCCAGTCACATGCCACCTCCTGGGAGTTCTTCATCAGTCAAAAAGGATTTATATGTAATAAGTAGTGGGGACAGATTATTAGACTCAAGGTCCACTTCCTCAGGAATTACAAGATCAAACACTTTCCAGAAAACTGAACAAGACTGTGTTTAAATTGCATTGACTGGATCTGTCCATTCCAGATCTAACTCTGAGCAGATCCAAACAATATTATCTGTTAACCTCTAACAATATTCTTCACAGCAGCCTTGCAAATGTTGTTAAAGTCCATTTCTTCATAGTAAGCAACAGGTCACCTTAAAAAGGGCTGATAGTATTTTGTCAGTTTTATTGCCATAATTCATAATGAGAACTAGTGAGATATAATTGTATTTATTTTATTTATTTACTTATTTGTCTTCTGCCTTTATTATTTTTATAAATGGTTCAAGGTGGCAAACATATCCAACACACCTTCCACCTCTTATTTTCTCTCAACAAAAACACTGTGAGGTGGGTGGAGAAAGAGTGATTGGCCCAAAGTAGCCCAGCTGGCCTTCATGTCTAAGATGGGATTTGAATTCATGGTCTCCTGTTTCCATAGTTCATAATAGTTAAGTCATCAGGCTAGAAATCAGGAGACCGTGAGATATAGTGCTGTCTTAAACACAAAGTGACCTTGGGCTAGTCATTTTCTCTCAGCCTTAGGAATGAGGCAATGGCAAACAATTTCTGCAAAAATCTTGCAAAGAAAACTGCAGGGATTTGTTTAGGCAGTCTAAAAATTGGACATGAAAAATGGGAAGAGAAATCCATAATGTAGCCTTTTACACATGTTTGGTTGAATTCGTTATTTGCCTTTTACTATAGTTCTTTCTGCATCTCTTCTACCAGGACCATGGTAAAAATCATTAACATTCAATTCCCATTGAGTGATGTCTTAAAAAACTTTGATTGAGCTGGCTTTGTATAAGTTCTTTCTTATTCCACATTCTCTGTTGGGGGTGAAATTTAATATTGTTTTGTCCCTAAAGCCTATTTGACAGCTTAAAATTAAAAAGTGTGTTTCCTGCCTCAGAAGAGTTTGTGAAGCAACCTTTGTAGCTTCGTTGACAAGACCCTGCTCTTAGGAACTGAAAAGTCTTTAGAATTAGAAGTTCTGTGGTTGGAGGCAGATCTATGATGTTGTGAAATAGTAAAAATAGTAAATAGTAAAAATATTCCAAAAAGACAGATTGGACCTGGTAGCCCATGGTTACTGTGGTATTAATATCTTCATGATTAAAAGTGATCTGTTTATTCTGATTTTGTTTTGAGGATAACTATGGGGAAAGATTTAAAAAAAATAGTGTCTATCTAAGATAGATCCCACCTTAACTTATTTGTGGTCTTGAGGTAGCTGGCATGTCTCCCTGTTTTGAAGTTTTGTGCTTCCCAAATAGCTTGGCATGTATTTGGGGTGGATACAAAGTGGAAACCATTTTGTTCATCCCCAATATCTAGTGTTCAAAAAGATACTTCTATATATTATAGTTTTACCTATTTATTCAAAAGGAGAGACTACTAGAAACAGAACTTGAATTTCTGGTGCTTACGTGTCTGTGTGCTTCGCAAGTATTCTATAACAAAAACATATGTTCTTTAAAATGGCTGATAAGTATGGTCTCCGTGTGCTGTTGTGCAGGTGTTAGTCTGCTGTCCGCAAGACATTTCTGAAAATATGCAGAATGATCAGATATGTGTTTTAAGGACTACTTGAGAATGAGGAATATTTTTTCCAAATAGATGTTTTATTGCCAGATGCCCAAAAGAGACTATAAACTTTTGAAAAATGATAGTGCTTTTATGTCTTTTCAGAACTGACTATGTTTTATGGAGATTTGCCAATTCTACAACTTGATGTGTTGTAGGCAGAAATTCTTTTCAAGTCTCTACTGACTATGTTTTTTATACTGTCCTCCAGAAATCAATCAATAGAATATTAATTGTAGTTCCAGGAAAGAAATTTGAAACATCAAGTTTCTTTACATGGGTCAAACTAAGGGTTGAAAATGTTTAGAATACAGATAAGCAGTTTACAACTTTATTATAATTCAGAACAGTCCTAGTACAGATTTTATTTTATTTTTCCTACTTATAAAAGGCTTGTACAACAAACTTTAGAGATTGTTCCTAAACAATTATCTTCCAGAGATATGTAAGCAATATTAATGAATATGTCCACTAAAAATTAGTCAAATCTGTCAAACAGTCAAATTTACCCTTAGCAAAAACTTCATTGTTGCTCTTTATATTATCATTTGATTGTGAGTGGAATTAACAACTAAGTATTCCTGATCTTGTTAGGAGTTATTTGTAATGTATAGAAATAATAGATCAGTAGCCATATAGATAAAATAGTTCGGAATTTGCAGGGAGACTGGGTGAGGGGAAAGTAACAAAATGTCCACTGTGATGTTGTGATGTAAATTCTACCTACTATTATTTTATCTGTGCGTGTGATATCACAAGTATATAGAAAAGAACATATGCATTTCCCCATCATTGTAACTGTGAACATTTATAATAGGAACTGATATGTCTTATTTAGAAAATCCTCTTGTGTTTATTGATTAAAAATGTGTTTTCCAATCTTCCTTCAACTCACCTTTTTCCAACTTCCAGTTATGTGGATGGTATAATAATAATAATAATAATAGTAGTAGTAGTAGTAGTAGTAGTAGTAGTAGTAGTAGTAGTAGTAGTAGTAGTAGTAATAAGGTTGGAAGAGACCTTGGAGGTCATCGAGTCCAACCCCCTGCTCAGGCAGGAACCCTACACCATTTCAGACAAATGGCTGTCCAGTCTCTTCTTAAAAACTTCCAGTGTTGGAGCATTCACCGCTTCTGGAGGCAGGTTGTTCCACTGGTTAATTGTTCTAACTGTCAAGAAGTTTCTCCTTAGTTCTAAGTTGCTTCTCTCCTTGATCAGTTTCCATCCGTTGCTTCTCGTCCTGCCTTCAGGTCCCTTGGAGAATAGCTTGACTCCCTCTTCTTTGTGGCAGCCCCTGAGATATATAAATTATACCCTGAGGTATAATTTTCAGAATTACCATTGGCAGTGAGCATAATCTCAACATAATATGGAAGAAATCATATTGGATTTACAGTACTTTCAAAGAAACAGAAAAATACTATTTCATGTGATTAATTTTCTTATAACTTACTTTCTACATTTATCTTGCATATATGAATGCAAATAAGCAAGAACTTTCTTGAATCAAAGGAGTCAACATCCAAGATTCCGTTTCCAACAAATGGATAGCAGATGCTTTCCAAAAAGCCCATAAAAAAACAGCAATAGCTTACCTTTATAATAATAATGATGATGATGATGATGATGATGATGATGATGATGATGATGATGATGATGATGATGATGATGATGATAAAGTTGGAAGGGACCTTGGAGGTCATCTAGTCCAACCCCCTGCTCAGGCAGGAAACCCTATACCATTTTGGACAAATGGCTGTCCAGTTTCTTCTTAAAAACTTCCAGTGTTGTTGCATTCACCGCTTCTGGAGGCAGGTTGTTCCACTGGTTAATTGTTCTAACTGTCAGGAAGTTTCTCCTTAGTTCTAGGTTGCTTCTCTCCTTGATTAGTTTCCACCCGTTGCTCCTTGTCCTGCCTTCAGGTGCTTTGGAGAATAGCTTGACTCCCTCTTCTTTGTTAGTGCCCAGTACTAGTTATCAGAGACATCTTGTTTTTAGATTTTAATCCTCCTGATAAATCATTTTCATTATTGTCATATTTATCTGGACAGTATTGGTATCTGAAGCAGCAATATATTTAATGCAGTCTTTTATTATGGTGTTCCAGTTGGCAGCAAAACCTTTCCCAATTAAAGGAGGCTATCAATGGGACCATATGCAATTATACAGCTATTACCATGTCACTTTTGTATCTATCTGTTGTCAAGTAAATGTACAGTATGCTTTCTCATTTGTATTGCTGTTGTAATTCTTCTTTTATAACATCTTTAAAATTTGTCTCTTTTACCAATTTCCTCATTTCTGATTCA